AAAAACCTAGCAATGGTTCGGCAGGGTTACCCCCGGTGAGTCGCTTCCACTATATTATCTGCACCTCTGCAGGTATGGGTGATGGCAGCCTCCGTTAGTTGGGTTCAGTGATCTGTGGCCAAAGGGAGCTGTGATCCCCCATACCTGCAGATGTGCAGGTAAATATGGTGGTGTGGGGGCCCACCAGAGGCTAACTCTGGCAGACTGTATTTTCCCATCCCTGGTCTAAGGAGTGGCCTGGAAGTTCCACTATATTATCTGCACCTCTGCAGGTATGGGTGATGGCAGCCTCCGTTAGTTGGGTTCAGTGATCTGTGGCCAAAGGGAGCTGTGATCCCCCATACCTGCAGATGTGCAGGTAAATATGGTGGTGTGGGGGCCCACCAGAGGCTAACTCTGGCAGACTGTATTTTCCCATCCCTGGTCTAAGGAGTGGCCTGGAAGGTAGTACAGTGGGACAGAGAGACCCGGGTGCATTTGGGGGCAGCTTTAGAAGGAAGCTGTGAAAAATGGGGTTGGGGTTCAGCCATGAAAGTGAAGATTAGGAGCTTGTGAAAAGCAAAGGGGAGGCTGGTGAAGGGATTTGACTAATGGAATGACACAATCAGATCAATGGGAGATGGGGATGATTTTGGCAACAGCAATCAGCAAACTGAAAACAGATTTTCTTTCTAATGTACCCCTGTCACCATAGCGGCTTGGCAACAGTTTCTTCCCTCCAGCCCAGAAGCAACCGTACGTTTCAGCAGTGTATCTCATGTGGTTGCTTTCCCCTTTCCGCTTACATCTTTGCTGCAATCTGTTTTTCATAACAGGATGATAGATTTAATGAAACACATATTAAAATGACTGGAAGTACATCTGAGCCAAGCTAGTTGTAAGGCATTGTAAGCAGAGCCTATACAGAGGGCAGTATTGGACTTCTGAGCTAGTTAAAGACACTTGTTCTTCAGGATTCTGCCCCACAATGCAGCTGAGGTTTGCTAAAATCCTGGTGACATGCATTGCCTCTTGTGCCTTTTTGCTCAGTAAATAACCATGAAGCTACAGAATTTTTGTTATTGCATAGAAACTGGAGGCCTAGAGTCACCCGCATTTTAATTCTGTCATCATCGGGATGAACTTTCAGTGCGTGAGTGTGTATGTCAGTGTTAGACTATTCTGCAGTTCCTGATATTGGAGATAAAGTTTTATCTCATTCAAAATATCCCCACTAGCCTTGTTTGGCTGTGTCTTTGAGTTATCCAGCTTAATAAAATTCAAGGCATGTGATTTATTTGCTTGTGCTCTCTTAAAACAACTGTACAAAACCGGAATCTAGGCTATTCTCCTTTATCCTTCTGTATTAAGGCTGGAATATGAGTACATTCCGAGCAGGAAATTGGAATTGTCCCCACCTGTATTTTACCTGTCTTTGGAGCGTTAGTATGAACAGGCAGTAGTCTCTCTTACAAAGATTGGAACCAGGTGTCACACAAAACTCTGTGTTAGCTTCCTCTGTAACTTTGGCTTGGAAAATTGGTTTGGCCAGAAAAATGACATTTTTACTCTGGAAGCAGAGAAAAATGTGTCTGCAAAGTCTGAAGGAAAGCTATCAAATGTATTTGAATTATAGGTCTTTACTCAGTTACCTTGCTCTGGATATTGACTTCTGTCTTATGATTTGTCCATTATTAAGCAAAATTATGAACAGTTTTTAGTGTGGATATTTTAATGTGAATGGGAGTTTCACATTTTGTGTAGTAAACACTTCTCATGTATTGAGTCTCCATCAAAAGCAATAGATGTGCCTGGGTGAATGAAGATTGGATCCAAATGTCTTTGAGTCAGAATTGGGGTTGACCTATGAAATATTAAAGAAACTGTTTTCTGAAGCTTGAGTGAGGAGTTTGGATCCAAGACTCCAATTCAGACCCATTTCTAATCAGAACAAAAAGATCTAACACTAATATTGTAGATCATTACATTTTCACCATGGCTGTGAAATGCACATTTGAGGCATGTACTTTCTAACCTATATTGCCCTGTCAGAGCCACATTCATTCACTTGGGCCATGTCTACACTAGCGGGTTGTCGCACCAGAAATATGCAAATGAGACTAAGCATGGAATATCGCCGAGCCTCATTTGCATACCTAATGAGCCGCCATTTTGTGGAAGAGGCTCTTGCACCAGAAGGAGCGTCTACATTGCCCGTCTTGCGCAAGAAAAACCCTCTTGCACAATGCCATTATTCCTGAAAATAATCATCATAGCGGCAATGCGCAAGAGGGTTTTTCTTGCTCAAGAAGGGTCAGTGTAGACGCTCCTTCTGGTGCAAGGGCCTCTTCTGCAAAAATGGCCGCTCATTAGGTATGCAAATGAGGCTTGGTGATATTCCACACATAGGCTCCTTCGCATATTTCTGGCGCAACAACCCACCAGTGTAAACATAGCCTTGGTGTTTGCAGTGAGAATTTGTGATTTGATAACGATTCTTTTAAGTAACTTTGCAAAGATGGAGATTAATATAGTTATTTGAAAGGATTATTTTCAAATAACAAAAGAACATGGATTTGGACATGGTAATCTGTCTAACCAGTGCATTTTTGTGTAGTTTATCTCCCTTTAATCTCTCTTGAGAAATGCTTCTTTAGATGTTTACATGGTGTTGACAACACTGATTTTATCCTCACAGAGGAAAGATAAAACAAAGCTGTTATTGTTAACCTCTTAGACTTAAACTATACAGATTTCAGGAATACCTGTTTTAGCAGCTTAGTGATCTCTGATCACTGCAAGCATTTTGAGGTGTGGCATACTTTTTCATCTCCAATGCAAATACTTAATGCAAATGGCCAAGGCTATGTTTATTTAGCGCTTTCTGATATTATGGTAGTTTCCCAAAAGGATCCAGTACAGTGGATATATATTTGCAAAACATAAATATAGAGTGTGGGTGTCTAACTAGATCTAGATCTGTTTATAGACACGTGTAAAATATATGCATGTAGGTCTGTATATATGATGTACAAAATTTTCATGAAGAGGAATTTGGCATAGTCACAATAAGCACAAATAGCCCTGTTACTTGAAAATACCACAAGTCACTTCAAATGCAAACTGGGCCCCCGGAAGATATCACAGTCTTCGTAGTGTGTTTGTACCACACAGTTACTATATCCTTCTTATTCGTTACCTTTTTATTACCCTGATTTAATATCACCAGTTACCACAGGCAAAGACATTTAAAAAACCCACAGCAAATGCCGCACACTAACATAAACACAGACCATAAGCTCAGACTAATTTGGCACTAAGTTAAGTTGTAAAGGGTAAGTGTGCTTTATAGCCTCATTCAGGATGTAGATATAATGGATAAATAAAAACATACCCAAATTCACAGATGCTCTCAGTTAAGGCTCAGGGGAATCGTGACTATTGAAAATCACTGTTTGGTAAGAAAAGGGGGAAAGGATTGAATTAAATGAGTTCAGAAGGAAAGGAGTGAGATGTGAGGCTGCTGGTGGAGAAAGTTTAATTAGTTGAAATCTGCTGTAAGAGTCTTCACACTTGTCATCCCCAAAAGTGTAATTTCCTCTGATATTTCAAGGTGGGTACAATAAAGATGAAACAGTGGGATAGCCATCCATTTTGTCTGGGCTCAGCATGTGGTGTCTCTTCACATACATATTGAGGCCAAGTCTACCGTGGCACTTTGCAGCACTATAACTTTCTGGCTCAGAGGTGTGAAAATACACCCCTCCCCCGCATGCACAAGGTGCGGCACAGTGTGAACCAGGCTACATCACTGGGAACTGCCCTCTAGAGCACTGGGAGATCACTCCCAGCGTTCATGTCATGGCCACTTTTTCAATTTAAAGCACTGCCGCAGCCACACTTTAAATTGGGAAGTGTAGACAAAGCCTCACTCATGGACACACGCAATAGCCTTAGAAACCTATAACCTGGATTATCTGTGGTCCATCCGTTGGCGGCTGGAGGCTTTAACCTTGTGAAGTTTGCTTTCTTGTCATGTATTTGTCACTATAAGAAAATATTTAGAGTGGCAGCCAGCATGGAAAGCATTAAAAGTACATACTCGGGTATTATTTTGTCTTACTATGATCAGCTTTATCCTCGTTAAATGCAATAGTTTTCTCTAGAAGGAATGATCATTTTGTGAGACATGATTAGTTCTCCCTGCAATATTTTTTAAAACTTTTTAGCATTTTACCTAGAAGACTTTAAGGCTGTGTCTACATTGGCACCCTTTTCCGGAAAAGGGATGCTAATGAGACCAGTTGGAATTGCAAATGCCGCGGGGGATTTAAATATACCCGCGGCATTTGCATGAACATGGCTGCCGCTTTTTTCCGGCTCGGGGTTTTGGTGGAGAAAAGTGCCAGTCTAGACGGGATCTTGCAGAAAATAAGCCCTTTTCCGGAAGATCCCTTGAAAGTAGGAATAAGGGATCTTCCGGAAAAGGGTTTATTTTCCGCAGGATCCCGTCTAGACTGGCGCTTTTCTCTGGTAAAACCCCGATATACACTGTAAAATGTAGGTTGACATATCTATGTTGGTCAGGAGTCTGGAAAAATCTATACCCTGGGCCCTGAGTGACAGCCATGCTAACCTAACTCCCAATGTAGATTCTCCTGTTGAATAAGTTACCACAGTAATAGTCTGGAAGAACCTCTTTTGTTTCTATAAGAAGTGTCTACACAACAGTGACAGAGCTGCTATAGCATTTCTAGTGTGGACATAACCCTTGCTCTTTCTCTTGTATGTGCTAGAAAGTTGAGATCATCCTGTTGGCAGAGCTGTTTTCTGTCCTTTGACTGAGAAGAGGAAGGAATGGAGGCTGTGAAATCAAGAGAATTTGATCCAGCAGTGCCCTTAAGCAGGTGAGTAGTCCTTGACTTGAAGAGGATTCTTTGCAGGCTTAAAGTTAAGCCTGTGCTTCAGGGTTTTGCTGGATCAGATCCTGAGGGGGCAGAGTAAGCAGTGGCCAGACTTCAGTAGCTAGGCAACAACTCTGGGATATGTTCTGTTATAAAGCCACAACTGTGTGGCTGACCCAATAGATTACCTCAGGCTATGGGGAGATGGATTCACCTCAACCTAGTGAAGTTCTCACCCTATCTGCTGCAGTACACTGTCTTTGCTTTGTGTTGGGGATAAGAAGTAAAGTTGAAAGTAAGAGTATTTACTCATCTGCATAGCAACTCTTGTGCAGAAGGCAACATCTATTAAGTGTTCAGTGGCATGTTTTAGGCTGTATTAGGAGAGGAAAGATGAGCTTGTGTGTGAAGCACAGAGCTGAGAGTCAGGAGAGCTGGATGGGATGGGATGGGATGGGACCCCGTGGGATGTCACCTGATGAGAAGAAATACCATTGAGCCTGCGTTTTCTGCCAGCCTGGGCATCCTTGAACTCTGTCTTGTCATGCCAGACTCTTAAACCTCTTCCAGCGCACACACAGGTAGGGTGTGCCCAACTGGCCAATGACACAGACACAGAGATCAGCTGTGTGCAGGCTCAGCTTAAGTCGCTTAAGGGACTTGCCACAGGCTCAAGATATCTACTTCCCTTAGAATGCAAGCCCAAAATTATATGAAATTCTCCTCCTCCTCCCTCAACGTGGAGGAAGATATGCACACCTCTCCCCATTGGAAATATGAACTTTTGCTTCCAGGTATTTTCAAGTATCTATTTGGGTGGGGAAGTGGAGGAGAAACAAATTGAAGACTTTGATTATTTTCCTCCCCTGCCTTATAAAGGATTTCTGTTTAGCAGGAAACCTTTATTTAATTATCTCTCAGTGAAACAGTTCAACAGTCCAAGATGGGGGTTGTTATCAGGTGACCAGGTCATCTGACCCTGTAGCATCACAGTGTCCACGAATCAGTAATGGTGTGGAGCTACAGAAAGGCCACCACTGTTCACAGTCCATTCTCCTCACTGATGGGCCATCAGCCCTGCCTGGCTTTTCCATTTTTGTACCTGAAGTGTTAGTAGTGGAGATCACCACAGGCACCAACTTTGAAAAGTGCCCAGGGCATTGCGGGTGCTCAACCCCTGGCTTTGCCCCAGGCCCTGCCCCTTTCCCCAAGGCCCCATCCCACCTCTTCCTGCCCATTCTGCCCCCTCCTCTGAGTGTGCCATGTCCTCACTTCTTCCCTCCCCCCACTCCCAGTCCTGAATGCCACAAAACAGTTGATTATGGCATACTGGAGGCATGGGAGGGAGGAAGAAGTGCTGATCTGTGGGGCCTGCCTATGGATAGGAAGCATTGGGGTGGCAGAAGACAGCCGGTAAGGGGGTTGCCAGTGGATGCTCAGCACCCACCAGTTTTTCCCTGTGGATGCTCCATCCCCAGAGCTTCTATGCAGTTAGCCCTTATGGACATCACTCAAAGTAGCGTAGTTGAAATACAGATACGTTAGTCAATATTCCTAACTTCAGATACCAAAATGATACATGCATACTGTGGCAAGGTCAGTCCCGCTCCTGGGTCCCAGACTCCTGTTCAGTCCACAATCTTGCCACCTCTGTACTGCAGCACAGGTCCCACTTGCCCTTGCTGGGGTTTGGGCTTCTATCCTCTGTCTAAAAACGGCGTTGGGGTAGATGCCCCTGGTCAGCCTGATCTGGGTAACCAGTCCTCTCCAGCTATCAGCTGGACTCTCTGGATATGTGGGGAAGGGAGTACAAACACTCCCTGTCAAATCTCTTCACCTTCCCCACTGTCTATGGATATGCTGACTTTTTATTTATCAGCTTCTTTGATACTTTCCTTATCAGCTATAACTCCTCTCCACCTCCCTCCAGACTCCTTTTCCACAAGGCTTTTTAAAAAAAGGCCCCGTGGCAGCCTGAAATGAAATCAGCTGGCCCTTAATTGATTTATAGCAGCCCTGTCTCCACTGTTCTCTTAATAATTCCAGGTCATCTGCTCCTGGCTGCCCTAAAGTAGGCTCTGGCTAGTCAGGAGAGGGTTTTCTACTTTGTAGAGCTGCCTCTCCCCTTCTAATCTATCTCTCTATCCTGACCCTGTCACCGTACAAACAGGATAATCATAATCAGTAAGTGATACCTTTGCAGTGATACCTTATATGAACTATCTTGCATAAAGCATATCTTAGTTATGCCATATTTATAGCGTAAGCATATTTTCATAAAGAATATGGAGTGCAACAGCACACTGAGTTCTAATTCTGCTATCCTTTTACTACATGGCATAAAGGGCTTGTCCAATGTCTTTTTTAGAATTGGGGAAACTGAGGCACACACTTTTTAATTAACTTCATTAAATAAAATAAAATGTTTCCCTACTGCATGGGGGTCCCATCCATGGATAAGGGTCACACTGGTAAAATTCTGGTCTCCTTGGAGGATGGGCAGGGCAAAGAACTATTATTATTTATTAATAACAATTAATGGGTGTGATGCTGTAGCTCAGTTGCCCATCAAGGATGATGAATAGTTCTCCTGTAGTGGTAACATTCACATAAGGGCAGATGTTTGCCCCCTGAGTGGGGTTTAAACTCATGCCTAGGATCTATCCTGGGCCCTTTTGATTATGTTTACACTGCAGCGGGAAGTGAGCCTCCCAGCTTTGGTAGAGAGACTCATGTTATCAGGGCTTCCAACAGTGTGCTAAGAACAGAAGTGAGGACATTGTAGATTGGGCTCTGAAGTCTTGGGGGTTAGGTGGACTTGATAGCTTGAGCTGCAACATCCATGTGGCCATTTTTAGTGTGTTAGCTGAAGCCCTGCTGGGGCAAGACTGTCTAACTGGGGTGGACAGGTTGCTCCCAGCTGCCATGTAGAATGCCCTGAATGAACGCAGGCCCAGCACAGCCAGATGGGAGTTTGGAATGGACCTGGAACACAACCCATGAGGCCTCAACACCTGAAAAATACAGACTGTTTCTTTTTCCTAAGCCTCTGTTCCAAACCCCTTGTGAAAGTCAACTTCTCAGCCTCAGGCATCGAGGACAGAGGAAGCAAAGCAGGAGCCTGCTGCCAACAGCCTCAGTGGACCCAAGACATTTTTGTAATAACATCCAGATGGATCCACAGAAATTGTTAGCGTCTCAGGGAAAAAGAAAATCAGCTGCAGGATAAATGAGATTCAAGTGGTTTAGGAAGGGAAGATTGGAGGAGAAGCCTATTGCTGGGGTACCCGAGAGGCCAAGGATACGTCTGAAATATAAAACGCTGTGGTGTGGGAGTACTGCTTCCTAAGCAAAACCTGGAAGAAAAGTGGTGCTGAATCCTGACAGCTTCCACTGGGAGCCAGAGTCCTGGCTGAGAGCGGTGTTCTGGCTCAGAGTGATTTAACAGAGCTCCTTTTCCTGCCTTAGTTCAGTGTTTGCTAATTTGCTTTGAATCTAACATTCAGTTTTATTTATGAGTTACAATCCAGAGGGTTGGATTTGGTTTGGTTTTTTTGGGATCTGTGGATGTTTGATTCCCCCTGTCTGCCTGCCTTCTCTATTCCCCAGAGTTCAAGGAAACGCACGTTTCTTATTCCTGGAATGTAAATTTGTGCAAGTAAATCACTTATTTGGAGCAGAGAGTCACAAGCTTTTTCTAATCATATTCAGCATTCATCTAGAGGCCCTATTACCCTGATGCAACTTGCTCATTCACATCCAATGTTCTCTCCAATTTTTTATCCATGTGCGGAATAAATTGTGCTATGTGCACTGAGACACAAGTGGATATACACAACCAGTAGAAACACATACTGCCAGCTGTGGGTGCTGTTGATGCTCTGTTAATCAACGGGTTGGCACCTGACTCTCGTGGGTGTCCGCATAAGCATTCAACTTGCAGAAAACACTGCTCACATCCTGATCCCAAGCATTGAAGGCAATGGGAGGCTACTGACATCAGCAGACTTTGGATCAGGCCCTTGAAGAGCTGTAAGAAGAAGCCACCTGAGTGCAAGAAACAGGATTCAGTTTCACTACATTGTTTTATGTTGACAACAACAGAGGGACCCTAGGAAGGGGCGAGGGATGATATATGGGGAGGAACAGGAAGGCTTTTTGCTCCTTGGGTAACAATACAACTGCATTCACATGGAGATGAAGGACGTGAATGACAGAAGATTCATATCCTGGAAATTCCACCACGTAAAGTCTGGGAATTCAATGTGACAAACCTATTTGTATGTTTCGTTGCAGACAAGCACCTAATGTAGGAAGCAGAATTTCCTGCAACAACCAGTGTTAGCAAAAAAATGAAAACCAGTGAGAGCCAGAAGTAGTCATGGAGCATTAAGCAGGTAAACCCATTAAAAGGGACCATCTCTTTCCATTGGGATTATAGTGACATTTAAGCCTTTGCTTCCTGATTTTGAGCGCTGAGTGTTTTTGGAGGAGTGTAATGGCTATTAGCAGACTCCTCCTTCCTTTCTTCCTCTTTTGGGACTTAAAGCCAGGAACTGGGATGCACATCTGAACATGAAGTGGCCGGCAGAGTTGCCAAAGATATCCCCGCTAGCCAGAACAAATGTGTGCATGTGCTTAGAAATAGTACGGTGGAGACAAACTTCTAGAGCGAGCAAAGACACAAAACCACCGGGCTACGTCTACACTGGCCCCTTCTTCGGAAGGGGCATGCTAATTTTGAACTTGGGAATAGGGAAATCCGCAGGGGATTTAAATATCCCCCGCGGGATTTAAATAAACATGGCCGCCGCTTTTTTTCCGGCTTGGGAAAAAGCCGGAAAAAAGCGTCTAGACTGGCGCGATCCTCCGGAAAAGGGCTCTTATTCCTACTTTGAAGTAGGAATAAGAGATCCTCCGGAAAAGGGCTTTATTCCGGAGGATCGCGCCAGTCTAGATGCTTTTTTCCGGCTTTTCCCCAAGCCGGAAAAAAAGCGGTGGCCATGTTTATTTAAATCCCGCGGGGGATATTTAAATCCCCCGTGGATTTCCCTATTCCCAAGTTCAAAATTAGCATGCCCCTTCTGAAGAAGGGGCCAGTGTAGACGTAGCCCCACAGTCTTTGGTGTACTTAGTTTAATATTTTATTTTTGTGAGCTCCACACAGAGGGAATTTGCATCTGGAATGTCCAGTCCCATGATATCAGACGGAATGTGCTATTGTGGTGCATGTGTGTGTCTACAGCTGGGGTGGGGTTGTCTAAGGAAGTCCTAACTTAGGTGTCCTGGAGCCTGAAGAGGGTATATTAAGAGATAAGTTAACAGAGGCAACACAGCCTCTAACGCCCTCCTCATCATGACCTTCAGCTTGTAAATTAGACTCCCTCATGCCCTCCTCCTGCTGATATGTAGCTCACGCTAACATCTCTGCATTTAGCCCAACAGCTTGCTCCTACAGTTGTCCAGCTTACTGGCCTCTTGTGTCAGGAGTCCTGGCTTCAAATCCTGGGACATGTATTTGCTGTTCTTAAACCCATTCCAGTGCACACAGATCCCAAAACTTCCCGGGGTGTGTTGATCATGCTGAGGTAGATGGATAGAGCTAGGGCAGGGAAGCAGACCCCCTGCAATCAGCCTTTCTTTAGCCACTGTTCTGAGATGCTCCGGCTGGATTTTTGACTACCGGATATCAAATGTTCTTGAATGTAAATATTTTAGAAAAGCATGGGCGTTTGAGGCACAGTATCAAACAAGAGAGCTGTGAACTCCTTACCAGCAGCAGGATGATCTGGTGCGCACATAGCTCTTTTACAGGGTCCTTTCAAGGTAATGGAAAGCCTGATGCGTCCCTTTCACAATGGAGGGAAACTACGTGCAGAGTGCTCTAGGGAGGCTGAGCAGAAATGCAGCGATGTGATGATGGAAGTGGAATGAACCCTGGAAAGCCAGGTCTTGGGAGGAGTCTCACTTGGAGAGGAACTGACCAGCACTAGCTCCCAGGGATGAATCTGAAGCAGGCTGCAAGTATGCAGCTGTGCAGCTGAAGGGCCTGGTTTTCAGAGGGGATGCTGTGCTCTTATGGGTATCAAGGGAAAGGTGATGAGCTGTAGGTATGAGCGATAGGCTGGGCATTTTTCTCAGCAAGGGTCTTGTTGATTCCTAGAAGTATGTATTCATTCCAGATACAGAGCCTGCCTCCCCACCAGGGCCGGCCCGAGCCATTTTGGCGCCCTGGGCCCAGGCACGCGGCACCGCCCCCGGGCGCACAGCACATGCGTGGGCCCGCCCCCCCTAGGGAGCACGGGCCCGCCCCCGGGGCGCACGATGCATGTGCAGGCCTGCCCCCGGGGCGCACGGTGCATGCGCTGCCCGGCCCGGCTGCCGGGGCCGGCCCTGCAGGACGGGGATGGGGGGGGCAGCAGGGATGGGGGGCCAGCGCCACGGGGATGGGTGGGGCTGGCGCTGCGGGAGCTGGGCACTGCGTGAGCCAGGTGCACAGTGCCTGATGGCATCTATAAGGGGTGCCGTACGCCCCTTACAGCTGCCATCAGGCGCCCCCCATCGATTGGCACCCCGGGCAGCTGCGCGGCTTGCCCACCCCTTAGTTCAGCCCTGCCCTCCACCGATATAGACGGCCCACTTCAAATGAATGGAAATTTTTTCCTGCAAACTATCTCTCTGCAAAAAACTCCAAATCCCAGCCTACTTTTTTGCATGACAATAGTCATGATTAACAATTGTTGATCATTTGAATAGGCTTGGTTACCTTTCATCCAAGGAGCAAAACATGTTTCTAAAAATGCAACTCAGTCTCAAAACTCACTTGTGAGGTTATTAAATAGGGGTTGCTCCAGTGGGCAGGTGGGGAAACCAAGAATGAAGCCACCAGGTTCCTGGCACTGCGAATATGCACTACCAAAGAAACACCAAACTTAGGTTCTGGGTGCTCTGCTAACCAGCTAGGCAGCATTGCAGTCTCTTCTGAGTGGCTGCACAAGTGCCCAGCTTACAGGGAACACTGATACTTAACACCCTGCCTCCCATTAAAGACAAGGAGAGCTGTGAAATCTGACCACCGTTAAGAATCAGGCCCAAAGGCCCAGATCCTTGAGGGAATTAAGACACCTTACTTTGGTTGATTTGGCCCTAAGTGACTTTCTCAAAGGCCACCCAGGAGATTAGTAGCAGAACCTGAAAGGAGTCCTGGCGCCCATCTTCCTTACTCCAAGAATTCTAGCCTCTCATAAAGTGATTTGCATTCATTTTCAACAGCTTAACATATAGTGATCCTTGCAGGAAATGCTCAGCAGCCAGATGTCTTGGTGACCTGGTTTACTGACCACAAACTACTGTGCTATTAGAACTGACCTTCTGCTCCCCAGCTCAGTCCCACCAACTGGGATCCCTATGGTCTCTCCCTGTGTGTGTCCTCCTGCAGGGTTTCCAAAATGCCAACCACAGAAAAACAACAGCAACCCAAACTTTCCTTTTGCTTAGGTTTCCACTGTCTCCCAAAACTAAACAACTGACTTATTTTGGGCTTTTTTGCCCTCATTTGTTTTGGGGGAGAGAGGGAAGTGCCCTCTCTGAGTTGAGCTAGGCAGCTTTCTAGAGCTAAAGAGGAGGAAAAGGCTTTCAGAGTCTGTGGGAAGAATTCTTGCCAGATGTTTAGGAGCCCCCCACCCTCTTTCCCGGCACATGCATACCTTGCCTTTTGCCTTTCGATTCTTCATTCTCCCTAGCAAACATCCGACAGTCTCTCTGGATAGAGCTTCTGGCTTAGGGGTGGGCTTTGGGCAGGATGGCCAGCTGCCTCCAATAAGTGTAGCCTAGGCTTTTGTCATGATATTGATGGCCTTAATTTTATGAGCAAAGAGAGCTGTAGCCAGGAATTCATGGTGTTGAACAGCAGAGAATCATCGGAAAAGACAGTGTCCCCATTCCACAGCTGGAATGAGGTGTGTGTGTGTGTGTGTTTTACTATATGCCTCAGTTGGGTAGCTAGAAAATGTGTATGCACGTCATCAAAAATCCCTGAATGGCTGGTAACAGAAGTAGCCTATTAAGTGAAACATACCCAGCTATGGGGTTGTGATCAGCCAGTGGGGAAGGGGTTGGATGAACGTGTAGTTCAGCAAAATGTCAAACTCCTCTACAGAATGCTTATGACTACACCATTGTATTGACACATCTCATTTCCTGTCCCCTGAAGTATTCTTTATTGTCTCCCTTTCAGTGCCAAGTGATACTCATCTCCTCCTCCCCCATTGCCCATTCTTCCACACATCCCATTGATCTCTCCCAGTGAAGGCTTTACAGCTAAAACATCTGTTCATACTTCATTCTCTATTTCCAGTTTTCCTTCAAGCTCCCTTTCTTATTCCATTTGCAATTTGGATGCAGGCACATGTCCTCTTGTTTTTGGTTTGTACCTGTTGGCATCAGAGCTTTATGATGCTACAGCAAAGATGAATGGATGGATGTTTGGTTTCCCTTTCCAGTCCAGTTTGCCTGCTTCTTGTTATCTAAATCATATTGGAATGTATTTCTGGCTGTTTTGCTTCCTTTGATCAGATTTGCTTAGTGGATTTCCTGTTTGCATGGGAGAGGGATGTGTTTCCTTTTGGAACTCTGATGAATAAAGAGGGTGCAGAGAAGGAAGTCAGCAGCCTCAATGCAGGTGTTAAACTTTACAGTATAAACTTGGTCCTGATGTTGCATCTTGGAGGTAGGCAGCACCCTCTTCTGGACTAAGTCCCGAGACCTTTTTCTTATTGAGAGGGTAAATACGACAATACCGAAAATAAGCTGCTTCTTCCAGACCTCAGCTCTGCCTCAGCACTGCCCCCTTCTGGATGTTTTGATTACTTACTGGCACTGAACCTGATCTTTTACAAACAGAAACAAAAAAATCCATTTCTATATAATAATGACCTACTTTTAAGGGGCTCGGATTATATGTACAACAAGCAGAAAACAGGTGTCTGACAAGCCACACCACAGCCTGAACAAAGCTCCTAGTAGTTAGCTTGGTCAGCCAGCATATTGTTACATTGTGCGTAAAAGGCATTCCCAAAACTTGGTTTTGCCACGGCCTGCTTGAAAACGGAATGCAAAACAGAAATAAAGACGTGTAAATCCAGCAGACCCTACTACAGCTGCGTTCTCTTCATCACAGCCAGGCTAAAGAATTGTAACCGGGAAGCAATCGGTTTCCCTGTGGGTTGTTTGTCTTTCAGCCCGACGATGCAATTCTCCCTTCTAAGAGATGTGTTACTTCCACTCAAGTAAACCAAGTTAATGTGAGGATGAATTTAACCTCTTTTGCCTCTCTATGGAAAAAGTGACTGAGCAATTCCTCTGTGGCATCTAGAAAGACAAATTGCTGCCTTATAAGGCATCCATTCCCCTCTTAATGTTCACATGTACAGGATATGGCCTTAGTGTTAGTGGATGCTGCATGTACCGAATGGAGAAAACAGTTCCCCCATGGGCTTTGGGGGCTCTGTATTTGAATAATGCACAGAAGTGGAGTGTTGTCAGAAGAGGAGCTCTGAATTTGAGACACAGGGGTCATTGTGGCCTGGGGCACACTATTGCCTGGCTGGTCAGTGCAAGAACTGGGAAGGAGGAGATGCACCCTCAATCCCGGCTGCCCTTTGCAACCCCTTGGCCCTGTCATAACCTGG